GAACTTCCGACTTCAGGTTATCCGCCCACCTCAGCCTCCCAAAGTGCTGGGATTACAGCGTGAGCCACCGCACCCGTCTGATAATTTTTTTTTTTTTTTTTTTTTGAGACAGTCTCGGCTCTGTTGCCCCGGCTGGAGTGCAGTGACACAATCTTGGCTCACTGCAACCTCCCCCTCCTAGGTTCAAGCAATTCTCCTATCTCAGCCTCCCAAGTAGCTGGGACTACAGGTGCATGCCACCATGCCTGGCTAATTTTTGTGTTTTTAGTTGAAATGCGGTTTCACCATGTTGGTCAGGCTTGTCTGGAACTCCTGATCTCAGGTGATCCACCTGCCTCAGTCTCCCAATGTGCTGGGATTGCAGGCGTGAGCCACTGCACCTGGCCCAGAAATCCCTTAAGGTAATTTGCATAACAGTAAGTCTAGAAATGGCGAAGCATCAAGGTTGGTGTTCAGAGGCTTGATTTCATCAGCAAGGGTTCAGGTACTCCCCATCTTTCTGCCTTTCTGACTAGATTCCAACATAATTGCAAGATGGTGGCTACAGTTCCAGGTATTACATTCATACACTCCAGGGATCAGTCAAAGAAAAGGGAATGGTCTCTTTCGATGCAGCCCTTTATTTATTTATTAAGCTCTTTCCTAAGAGTAAAGCAGCTTTTCCTAGAAACCTCCAGCTAACTTTTCATTATAGTTCATTGGCCATAGCTAGACTGTAGGTCCCCCTTTAATCTCTGGCTTAAAGCAATCAGGATTTATTCTTGATTCCATAGGTAAGAGGAGAACAACAGAGAAAGATTGCAATTCTGATAGTGTGGAAGAAAGAAAAGTGGCCAAATGTTTTCTACACCGTATATGTAAGTGGAATGAAAAATATCCAGAAGGATATATCCCCAATTGTTAATGGTGAGTACCTCCAGGGAGCACAGTGGGACCGGGAGGAGGATGGAAGGTGTTTTGTGGCAAATACCGAGGTTGCCCATCTGACATTCTTCACCCACTTCTCTCTCATTCATAGAAGCCATTTTTTGGGGGGTAGCAAGAGGCAAAGGAAAATTTCTGGTAGAACAATTTCCTCCTTCATAAAAATAAAACCTATTTCTAAACTTTTCCCTTTTTTTTTTTTTTTTTTTGAAACAGGGTGTTCCTCTGCCACCCAGCTGGGGTGCAGTGGTGCGATCACAGCTCCCTGCAGCCTTGACCTCATGGGCTCAGGGAATCCTTTCGCCTCAGCCTCCCAAGTAGCTGGGACTACAGGTATGTCCACCACACCTGGCTAAATCTTGTAATTTTTGTAGAGATGGGGTTTCACCATGCTGCCTAGGCTGGTCTTGAACTCCTGGGCTCAAGAGATCCACTGGTCTTGGCCTCCCAAAGTGAATCACAGACAAGAGCCACTGTGCCTGGCCCAAGCTGTTGTTTTTTGTTGTTGTTTGTTTTTTAGACAGCGTCTCATTCTGTCGCCCAGGCTGGAGTACAGAGGTGCGATCTGGGCTCATTGCAGCCTCTGCCTCCCAGTTCCAAGCAATTCTCCTGCTTCAGCCTCCTGAGTATCTGGGATTATAGGCATCTGCCAACATACCTGGCTAATTTTTTGTATTTTTAGTAAAGATGGGGTTTCACCATGCTGGCCAGGCAGGTCTTGAATTCCTGACTTCAGGTGATCTGCTCACTTTGGCCTCCCAAAGTTTCTTTCCAGACAATTCTATGAAAAGGTATCTATCCCCATTCACAGAGTTGGGCAAACCCTGAAGTAGACTGGATTTGGAATGGTCACACTCACTCTGGACTGTTCTGTAAGACTGGAAAAGCTGAGTGTACACCCTTGACTGCCCTACTAGAGCAGGTGGGGTGTAAATCCAGCTCTAGCTTTTCTTCTTGGTGTGGCCATGTTGTACTTTATGCAAACCCTGATTAACTCAAGCCGCTGATTAGTTTAAGGTGCCATGTAACCTGATTCTGGCCAGAGAGAAATGAAGGACATTAGCTGGAGGGCTCTGGAAGAGTTTCCTTGCTGATGAAAGGGACACAATGAGGAAGAAACAAACTTCTTGCTTTGCCTGGACCTTGTCATGTCCACGTGTGATGCCTGAAACTGCAGCGGCCATATCGGGACCCAAATGGTAGCTACCCCAGGGCAAGCTGAGACCCAGAAGATGGCAGAGTGGAAAGATGGAAAGAGAAACTCTTATATATGTGCTCAAAGACACACATGCAATGTTTATAGTGCATTATTTATAGCAAAAAAAGAAAAAAAAAAAGCCCCTTGCCAGGTGCAGTGGCTCATGCCTTTGGGAGGCCTAGGTGGGAGGATCATGAGGTCAAGAGATCAAGACCATACTGGCCAACATAGTGAAACCTTGTTTCTACTAAAAACACAAAAATTAGCTGGGCATGGTGGTGCACGCCTGCAGTCCCAGCTACTTGGGAGGCTGAGGCAGGAGAATCGCTCGAACCTGAGAGGTGGAGATTGCAGTGGGCCGAGATTGCACCACTGCACTCCAGGAATGAAAGATAAATAAATCTTCTATGTTCATACAATGGAATACTATGCAGTGATGAAAAAGAATAGTTACAGTTACAGATTTCAATACAATGAATCTCATAAACATAATGTTGAATGTGAGAAATAATAAAGCTGAAGGATACATATAGTATGATGTTTGAGTGAAGTTTAAAAGCATCCAACACTATGCCTTAGCAAAATATATATGTAGGAAAAAGTATAAAATCATGCATGGAAAAGTACTACCATTTATTGGGTGCTTACAGTGTGCAAAGCATCATGCTAACAAATAGCCAGCCTGGCTGAATTCTCACATTGACACTTAGTGAGAAATACTATTTTTTTTTTTTTTTTTTGAGGCAGAAACTTGGTCTGTCACACAGGCTGGAGTGCAGTGGCATAACCTTGGCTCACTGCAACCTCCGCCTGCGGAATTCAAGTGATTCTCCTGCCTCAGCCTCCCGAGCAGCTGGGACCACAGGTGTGTGTACCATGCCCAGATAATTTATTTTGTTTTGTTTTGTTTTTTTGAGACGGAGTCTCACTCTGTTGCCCAGGCTGGGTGCAGTGGTGTGATCTCAGCTCGCTGCCACCTCCACCTCCTGGGTTCAAGAAATTCTCTTGCCTGAGCCACCCGAGTAGCTGGGATTACAGGTGCACACCACCATGCCCTGCTAATTTTTTTGTATTTTTAGTATTTTTAGTAGAGTTGGGGTTTCACTGTGCTGCCCAGGCTGGTCTTGAACTCCTTACCTTGTGATTTGCCCACCTTGGCCTCCCAAAGTGCTGTGATTATAGGTGTGAGCCACAGCACTGACCATTTTTTGTATTTTTTTCATCCCGAGATGGAGTCTTGCTCTGTCGCCCAGGCGGGAGTGCAGTGGCGCGATCTCAGCTCACTGCAACCTCCGCCTCCTGGGTTCAAGCAATTCTCCTGCCTCGGCCTCCCAAGTAGCTGGGATTACAGGCACGCCCCACCATGCCTGGCTAATTTTTTTTTTTTTTTTAGTAGAGACAGGGTTTTATGCTGTTGGCCAGGCTGGTCTCTAACTCCTGACCTCATGATCTGCCCACCTTGGCCTCCCAAAGTGCTGGGATTACAGGTGTGAGCCACTGCACCCAGCCCATTTTTGTATTTTTAACAGAGATTGAGTTCAACATGTTGGCCAGGCTGGTCTTGAACTCCTGAGCTCAGGTGATCTGCCCACCTTGGCCTCCCAAGGTGCTGGGATTACAGGCATGAGCCACTGTGCTGGACCAAGAAATACTATTCATATTCCCACTTTCCAGATGAGAAAACTGAGGCCTAGAGAGGGGAAGTGAATTACCAATGGCATATAGTGGTTCTTTCTTAAGTACCAAAAACCTCATTTAATCCTATAAGATAACAATTATCATGTCTCATTTCAAAATGAAGGAAAGGAGAACCCAGCTCACACAGAGATCAGGTGCTTGAGGTGGAATTAAACACAGGTTTCTTCTCGTTCCGAAGCCTGTGCTTTTCCACCAATAAATTGTCACATCCACAAAGCATGGGAATGTAAATCACAACACAAACACACACATACACACACACACCCGGGCCTTGAACTTGAACCATATGGAACTGGGTAAAACATCACACATTGCTGCACCCAGAGCTCCCATCCCATCATTAGTATTATTTTTAACTGAACCCTGAACTGAACAGAAGGGAACAGTGCTCAAATTGAAACTGAACTTGTATATTTTTTCAAGCTGTTGAACTACAATATTTAAATATTCTGGAGACAGAGACAATTATGTAGAGAATTCTATGTTAACCCCTTTGCTCTGTATATTTTGATTTGCCTAAGATCACATGGTCATGACAGACCCGAGGGATTCTTCATCATTACCAAGCAGTTGTAGGTGAATTTTTCACTACTTCTACCCCTTGTTTACCCATCCCTTCCCTTTGTGGCCAGGGCAGGGACTTGAATGTCCCTGTACCCACCAGCTATGATCCTCTCTACATTCTGTGTCTTCCCTCAAAGCTCATATCCTTGTCAATGTTTGCTGAGTGAAGAAAGGAGGGAGTAGGCCCTATGAGATGTGTATTTCCCATCTCCAAGGACAGGGAGTTCCAGCCTGAACCTGATTCCTTGGGGGTCCCTGAGCAGAAGCTTCATGCCTGGGCTGAGAAATTGGAACATACCACCAAGGCCAACGATCCTCAGTATTCGAGCAGCCTGGCTGGGGTGTCTTGGGATCCAGGTGGCCTTTGTCTCATCTGGACCAGGCCAGCACAGTTTGTGGCCCTCCCCCACAGCAAGAGGAGGGGCTCTGAGGAGGCTTGGGGGCCCCTGGGGAGACATCCATCTTCCAAGAGCTTTATCATTTTTTCCATAACAGTATCCTCCCTTCAAGGTGGAAAGTCCCAGCTGGCAACTGAGGATGCTCTCAATGTGCTTTTGTTCTCTGCCTTGACACTAGCCCAGGCAGCAGGGCTGGAGACAAAGACACCTTCCTTTTCATACCAGCCTGTTCCAGGCTTGCTGTGCCAACAAATGGTGCAACACAGACCACCCTTAATGCTATGAGCTAGACCTCTCTGGTGTGAATTCTGGTTCTGCTACTTGCTAACTGTGCAGTCTTAGCAGGTTACTGAACTTCTCTGTGCTACAATTTTCTCCATCTCAAAACTGGTGTGGTGATAATATGATCAGTTTTCAGGATTTAATGAATTAATGTATGAAGAACGCTTAGCACAGCACCTGGTATATAGTAAGAGTGATGTAACTGTTTGCTGTTTATTACATGACTTTGGGCTTGGACAACTCATCTCCTCTTTCTGAGTCTGTTTCCCTGATTGTGCAACTAAGACGGCAGTTCCTGCCTTCCTTTCGACCACTGATCTGGCCCTTTCTTGCTGCACAGCCTTGGAGAGATTTTTGGGTTCTCTTAGCCTCCGTGTCCTCATCTATTAAACGGGACCTATTAAGTAAAGGGTTGTGGTGATGAGAATGTGAGAAAATCTGTACCCAGCATGCAGCATTGGGCCCAATACTAACAGAGAAAGAGTTAAAACAAAGTTAGCTATTGTTTTGGTTTTGTTTTTATGGATGAGAAAGTAATTTCTAAACTATAATAGGCTGTGTCCCTGGAAGGGAGAGTGTGGTTTTCTCACATGATTTCCCAGCCGCTCCCTATTCACAGACACCTAGAATCAGAGAGGACAGGAATGGAATGGCCACTTTACAGGTAATGGATAACGAATTAATGGATATCCATTAATAGATAATGAATTCATCAATTCAACAAATATTTACTGAGCACCTATTATGAGCCAGGCACTGGTTGTAGGTGCTGGGGTCAGGGCAGCACTGAGGGCCCTTCCCTCAAGGAGCTTTCATTTCTGTGGGGCAGACAGACAAAAACATGTGAATACATATGCTAGGCAAAGACTCATAAGCAGGTCTTCACAGTCTCAGCATATCTTACCCTTAACAAATCCTGGTTTCTGCAAGGCCTTAAGGTACGATAGCAGGGCGGGGCCTAGTGGTTCATGCCTGTCATCTCAGCATCTTGGGAAACTGAGGTGGGAGGATCTTGGATTCAGGAATTTGAGACCATCATGGGCAACACAGCAAAACTTTGTCTCCACTAAAAATTAAAACAAAAAAATTAGCTGGGCATAATGGCACATGCCTGTCGTCCCAGCTACTTGGGGGGCTGAGGTGGGAGGATGGCTTGAGCCTGAGAGGTGGAGGCTGCAGCAAGATGTGATCGCACCACTGCACTCCAGCCTGGGCAACAGACAGAGTGAGACCCTGTTTCACAAAAAAAGATATGCCAGCAGGAGCCCACATTTATTGAATCTTCCTAGACACAGGAACTGTCTTAAGCATTTTACACATCTTAAATCATTTAATTCTCACATCAACTCTAAATGAAGGAATTGTCATGAATTCCATTTTATAGATGGAGAAACTAAGGCACAGAGAGATGAAGGGGAGCAGGGTTTGAACACACACCTCCCTGGTTCAGGGCTGTGCCCTCAATCACTCTGCCATCTTGCTGTGCTTGCTGGCTGCATAACTCCCCTTCCCCCGACACCACCCCCACACCCCACCATCTTGGTCTGCACCAGTTCTTTTCTCCTTCCCTCTTGCCTCCCCTATCACCGTTCAAGTATTTCTTCCACATTCTGAGTGGCCTTGGGGTAAGCTCTCTCTCTCTCTCTCTCTCTCTGTGTGTCCCTCAGTTTCCCCATCTGAGGATGGGGGATTGCCCTGGATTATCTTCAGGGCTTTCCCTGACCACTCTAATTTTCAGCTCCTTATCAGTTTGCCATTCTTTTATTTGCTGATTAGTTTTCTAGTCTGCCTACTGCCTACCCCACCTTGCTGTGAGCTACCAAGCAGTGAGAACCCTCTTTCTGTTCACCATGTCTCCCTGGAGGCTGGCACTGTGACCTGCACTTAGTAGGCCCTCAATAAATATTTGTAGATGGAGAAAGGAGGGAATGAGGGCAACTGTACTCAGTTTTCTAAAGCCAGCTCCTGCACTCTCTCCCTGGCCCCTCTTCCTTTCTCAGCCCTTCCCCCTACCCGTTTCCCTCCCGCCCTCTCACCTCCCAGGGCCCACTCCGGCCCTCCATCCGGCCTGCATTTTTCCGGGTTTGATATCATTTTTTCCACTCTCCCGGCTGCTGCCGGCCGCCTCTGCCAACTTTCCACAGCTAGAGCCCCTCCCTCTGACCGCAGGCCAGAGACGGCTTGGGGTGGGGGAAGACCTTCCTTCTCTTCCCTTCCCTAGGCTGGGGTTGGGGTGTGGGAGTGATTACCATCAGTCCCAGCTGGAAGCCTGGGGAGCCGGGAGTCGTGGCTGGAGGACATGGGGCTGGCTGGCGGGTGCTGTTGTCTTTCTCTGCACTGCGACCCCAAGGGCTGGGGCGTCTGGGCCAGTTGGAGGGAGGGATGTCAGGCGTCAGGGACATGGTGGTTCAAATGGTTTGCGTCTTGTTTTCCTCTCAAAGTAGTGACACTTCCCTTCGGGCTGGAAACTCCTGACCTGATCCCCAACACCCAGCCCTGACCCCAGCCAGGCTGGACGCCTCACCACCTCCTTCCTCCCACACAGCCAAAGGGAGACCCAGGAGGAGGCTGGGCCCTGGGGTGTGATCCTCCCTGGCTCTGTCTCTGGCTTGCTCACCTCCCCTCTCTAGCCTTGTTTCTGCCTTAGGGAAATGAGTGAATTGGATTAAACTGGGGTCCATCCCCGGGATTAATGGATTGAGTTTCATAGAGTATTCCTGCCCCAACCTCCTTTAAATTGGATGTGAAATTATGTCTTTAAATTAGTTTTCCTAAGATTCTACAGGGTTTTGTAACATCTTTAAAGAGGACAGTGGATAAGTTGGTCACTAGAGTCTGACAAGCCTAACTGGAATCCCAGCAGCTTCGCAAATAGCAGCTGTATGACCTTGGTGGGCCTTCACTGTCCCATGCCTCAGTTTACTAACGAGCAAAATGGGGTTAATGGTAACACCCTTCTCCCAGGCGTTGGGAGGATTAACTAATTGTGGCGACAGCTTAGTACCCAGCTCCTAACAAACGCCAGTAATTCTATTGCCAGGATGAGGTCCTTCCAGACATGAGAATCTAGAATGTAAAAAATGGGTTAATGAGAAATTAGCTGGTCACGGAACTGTGGTTGCGATCCACTGCCCGGAGAAAGGCCTGAGCACAAAATTGGTCTGAGGACTTTATTGATTGGCCCTGACACCCGGGCCAGCAGACTAAACCAGTCTGTAGTCAAGTGTAGATGGGAGGACAGTAGGTGGAGACGACCCAAAGAGCCGAGACAGAGAGGTGTGGGCATTCGGATGGGACATCCTTCTGGTCTGGTTTATTGTGAGGGTTTCTTTTTTCTTTTTTTTTTTTTTTTGAGACGGAGTTTCGCTGTTGTTGCCCAGACTGGAGTGCAATGGCACGATCTCGGCTCACCGCAACCTCCGCCTCCTGGGTTCAAGCAATTCTCCTGCCTCAGCCTCCCGAGTAGCTGGGACTACAGGCACACACCACCATGCCCAGCTAATTTTTGTATTTTTAGTAGAGACGGGGTTTCACCTTGTTGACCAGGATGGTCTCGATCTCTTGACCTCGTGATCCACCCGCCTCGGCCTCCCAAAGTGCTGGGATTATAGGCGTGAGCCACCGCGCCCGGCCTATTGTGAGGGTTTCTAAGGGTTGGCCAGAGCCCAGGCACAAGGAAGACTTTTTTACAAAAGGACACCCACCAGGTAAAAACTACGTTGTGCCCAGCATGGGGCTTCGGTCCATTGCTTCCTTGGTGTCTCTCAGGCTTGGATCTGGGGGATGCTCAGGCCATCAGGGCAGCGGGTAAGCAAGACCCACGATGCAGACTCCAGGTAGCGGCGCTTTTGCCCCTCAGCGGCGTCCGTGGAGCCCGGAATGCACCTCAGTGACCTGTCAACCCTCAGAAGAGCGGGCGGCTTCAGAGCACGGCCAGATTGTGGCAGGACTTGGAGCGGGCCTTGAGTGCCCGGCGGCGTGCGCTGCGGGCTGTCAGGCGTGCCAGGAAGCGACGAGCGCGCTGGGCTAGGCTGGCTCGCCGTCGTGGTGCTGGGGACTCCTCGGCCACACAGTCCTGGCGGCGCAGCCGCAGCTGGCGCACTACGCCCTCGAAGAGCTCCGCCACGTTGTGCTGCAGCGTGGCTGACGTCTCGATGAATTTACAGTCGAACACCACAGCGCAGGCGCGGCCCTCTGAGGGGGCGGGGCCCGGCGAGCAGGGGTGGAGCCATAGCCGGAAGGTGGAGAAAAAGGTAGAGAAGGTGTGTTCAGTCTCTATTGGAAGCAATTTTTCCTGTGCCCAGACCTGGTGCTGCTGTCTGGGGACTCAGGTAAATCAGACTGGTTTTTGAGGGAAGACAGAAAGGCTGGGGTCAGGTAGGGGCCAGGTTGAATGCCAGGTAAAGGGTCTAATTCATCGGGATTACCTGGGGGATCTTGTTAAAATGCAGATTCCTGGACCCACCCTCAGAGTTTCTGATTCTGTAGGTTTGGGTTGAGGTCTGGAAATCTGGGCTTTAACAAAATCTCCTGGGGCTTATGTTGCAGGTTTTCTTTCTTTTTTTTTTTTTTGGATGTCTGTCCGTAAAACATACGGTTTTCCACCTCCAGGATGCCACTGGGTCCGAGTTCTAGTCCTCAAGGGCTGGTGACTGTGAAATTGGCTTTTCTTTTCGGGGTCTCAGTTTACACATTTTTAAGATTTTACTTTGTGAGTAAAACCATTTAAAAACTTCATGGGCCGCATCTGATATGTCAAACTTATTAAAATATTCCCCATCCCATTGTAAATGCAATCCATATATGACATTTAAAGTTTTGGTTTGTAGTTGCTGGCTGACAGATATGTTTTGCAGACAATTAAAGCTTTGAGAAATTTGCATTTCTAATTTTTTCACTGTATTTTGGAGCCAATAATGGTTCTTTTCAGTTCTCAAATGTAAGCCCTTGAAAAGCCTGTAGGCACCGGGCCTATTATGTTGGTGAATAAAGTGTCTCTGATTAAGGGGATCGGGGAGCCATAGAGGAATTTTTTTTTCTTTTTGAGACAGAGTTTCATTCTGTTGCCCAGGCTGGAGTGCAGTGGTGTAGTCTCGACTCACTGCAACCTCTGCCTCCTGGGTTCAAGCGATTCTCATGCATCAGCTGCCCAAGTAGCTGGGATAACTGGTGTGCACCACCACACCTGGCTAATTGTTGTATTTTTAGTAGAGATGGGGTTTTACCATGTTGGCCAGGCTGGTCTCGAACTCCTGATCTCAAGTGATCCACCTGCCTTGGTCTCCCAAAGTGCTGGGATTACAGGCATGAGCCACTGCGCCTGGCCGGAAATTTTTTTTAAAAGAGTTAAAATTATTTTTTATTTTTTGTAGCGAGAGGGTCTTGCTGTGTTGCCAAAGCTCGTCCTGAACTCCTGGGCTCAAGCAAGTCCTACTGTCTTGGTCTCCCAAAGTGCTAGGATTATAGTTGTGAGCCACCATGGACCGCCACATACAGGCATTTTTAAGAAGCATAAATTTAGCTCTGGTCTTGGAAAATTCTGGCAGCTGGCGAGGAAGAATGATTGAGAAGTAGGAGGATTGGCGAAGGTGGAGATGCCAGGATAGCACAGAGGCTGTAGGCACAGAGGAAAGGGGATGTGGGATTAATGGAGGTGGCCTTACAGGACTTGAGGACTGGCTTGGGGGTGGTGAGAAGGGAGGCAAGAACGGTTCCTGGCTTTCAGGCTTAGGCAAGTGGCTGCAGGGTAGGGGCAGCTTGGCAGGGACAGTCACTGAGATGAAGAGAGCTGGAGGAGCAGCCATGACAGTGGGGCCCAGAGGAAGAGGAAGGGTGGGATGGAGGGCTCACCTTCCACGGACACTTCTCGGCAGCGGGCCAAGTCCGCCTTGTTGCCCACGAGGATGATGGGCACATGGTCTGCCTGATATGTGCGCCGCAGCTGGATACGGAGTTCAGAGGCACTCTCAAAGCTGCCTCGGTCTGCGATGGAGTATACGATGATGTAGGCACAGCCCCCCTGCAGGCATGACTCCCCGCTCCAGCTTTTATCCTGTGGGAGGGGGACCCAAGGCCTGTCCTCAGACAGTATCTAGGACCTGGCTGAGAAAGGTGGAGCTGGGATGGTCTAATGGGTGGGATGGGGCTGAGGTTTATAGTTTGGACAGGTGTGGGGGACAAATTCTGCCATAATTCCCTGTGTCACCTTGGGAAAACCAGTGATTCTTTCTGAGCCTCAGTTTCTCTGTTTGAAAATTATGCTAATAACACTACCTCACAGAATTCTCTCATTCGCTGACAGTTTTGCAGGCTGGGTATTGGAGGCAACATTTACTTTTTTCCTGTTCCTGTTAAATGCGGTTCTGCCTTGGCCTGTTCAGCACTTTTGCCTTGTTTAGGAGGGTTTAGCCTTGCCGTATGGTTCTTTATGGCTGCTGTAATCCAGAATGAAGAGAAAAAAGGAAAAGAGAAGTGAGGACAGGAGGCTGACGTCAGAGGGAAGGCATTTTTCAGGACAGTTTTGAAGACAGAAGTGAAGGAGCAACTTCAAAGTATAATTTCACAAGGGGATGAGAGAGGCAAGGAGCATTTTAAGAAGTGGAGTCCTTTCAAGTTGTTTGACCAAGAAAAAGAAAGAACTGCACTGCTGTTGATATTTCGGATGGTGATCTTTTGTTAGGGTCAGCCCTCCAAGACTGGACTACTTGGGTAATAACTTTATAAGTGTTGAGTAAGACACAGTTTCTGCCCTCCAAAAGCTCATGGTCTGGAAGAGAGGCTGTGGAAATGGGGAGTTACAGTGCGGTGTGAAAGTACCAGTAAGAGGCATGTGCAAGTGGCTGGAGGAGTGGGGTCAGGAGGCCAGAAGAACCCCACCTGGCAGAGTGTGGGAGGGCTTCACAGGGGACTGGTGAATGGAGTTAGGAAGGAAGGTCAGGCCAAGCAGGAGAGAAGAGATTCCAGGCAAAGGGAACAGTCAGCGCTAAAGGGAGAAAAACTGAGTGTGTTTGTGAGGTGGGGAAGAATCCAGAAATTTTCTTTCTTTTTTCTTTTTTGAGATGGAGTCCCACTCTGTCTCCCAGGCTGGAGTGCAGTGGTGTGATCTTGGCTCACTGCAACCTCCACCTCCCAGGTTCAAGTGATTCTTCAGCCTCAGCCTCCTGAGTAGCTGGGATGACAGGCACCTGCCACCACTCCCGGCTAACTTTTGTATTTTTAGTAGAGATGGGGTTTCACCGTATTGGCCAGGCTGGTCTCAAATTCCTGACCTCAAGTGATCCACCTGCCTTGGCCTCCCGAACTGCTGGGATTATAGGCATGAGCCACCACACTCAACCAGAAGCCAGAAATTTTCTGATAACCAAATGGGAATTTGGTGATGAATAGGAAACCATCAGATCCATGGTCAACGTTATTGTCAAAGTGGGGTAAGTTCTCAACAGCCATATTGATCATTTCCCAGGCCAAATAACCTTAGGGCGAGTCAGACTGATGTGGGTTCTCAACTTTGACTATGGACAGGTTTCTTCTTCTGGGTCTTAGTTTTCCCCATCTCTAGAATGAGAAAGTGAGTCTTGACCATTCATTCATTCATTCATTACACAAATATTTATGGAGGATTTGCTGTGTGTCAAGATCACAAAAGCCAGCTGGTGCATGGATTTGTGCGTAAGAACTCATTGGCAGTGTTTTTAAAAATATAGATTCTTGGCTGGGTGCGATGGCTCATGCCTGTAATCCCAGCATTTTGGGAGGCTGAGGCGGGTGGATCACCTGAGGTCAGGAGTTCAAGACCAGCCTGGCTAACATGGTGAAACCCCGTATCTACTAAAAACACAAAAATTAACCAGGTGTGATGGCAGGCACCTATAATCCCAGCTACTTGGTAGGCTGAGGCAGGAGAATTGCTTGAACCAGGGAGGTGGTGGTGGCAGTGGGCCAGAGCCAAGATCATGCCACTGTACTGCAGCCTGGGCGACAGAGCAAGGCTCTGTCTCAAAACCTAAATGGCGAGTCTTCTGATTGCCATTCTACTGATGAGGAAACTGAAGACCAGAGAGGTTAAATAATAGTAATAATAATAATAATAATAATAATAATGTGTCCAGAGCTCTCAAATAGCAAGTGAGATTCAAACCCAGATCTACAAAATTCCAGAGGCTATATTATTTTTATTTTTATTTATTTATTTATTTTGAGACAGAGTTTCACTCTTGTTGCCCAGGCTGGAGTGCAATGGCATGACCTTGGCTCACTGCAACCTCTGCCTCCTAGGTTCAAGCAATTCTCCTGCCTCAGCCTCCCAAGTAGCTGGGATTACAGGCACCCATTACCATGCCCAGCTAATTTTTGAGCCACTGCACCTGGCTGAGTTGGAGACCGGCCTTACCAACATGGAGAAACCTTGTCCCTACTAAAAATACAAAATTAGCCAGCTATGGTGGTGCATGCTTGTAATCCCAGCTACTCGGGAAGCTGAGGCAGGAGAATTGCTTGAACATGGGAGGCAGAGGTTACACTGAGCCGAGATTGCACCATTGCACTCCAGCCTGGGCAACAAGAACGAAACTCCATCTCAAAAAAAATTAATTAATTAAAATAAATAAAAATCAAATTTATCAGGCCTCACTCTTGACCTAGAGAATAAGATGCTCTGGTCAGGTGCAGTGGCTCACAACTGTAATCCCAGCATTTTTGGAGGCCAAGGCAGGGGGATCACCTGAAGTCAGGAGTTTGAGACCAGCCTGACCAACAAGGTGAAACCCCATTTTTACTAAAAATACAAAAAATTAGCCAGGCATGGTGGTGCACACCTGTAATCCCAGCTACTTAGGAGGCTGAGGCAGGAGAATTGCTTGAACCTGCCTCAGGAGAATTGCTTGAACCTGGGAGGCGGAGGTTACAGTGAGCCAAGATTGATTCGCTGCACTCCAGCCTAGGCGACAGAGCTAGGCTCCATTTCAATAAATAAATAAATAAATAAATAAATAAATAAGAAACTCTAAAAGCGGGGTTCTGGAATTTATCTATATAGGTATATAAAGTTTTTTTTTTTGAGGTGGAGTCTCTCTTTGTTGCTCAGGCTGGAGTGAAGTGGCACGATCTTAGTTCAGGCTCACTGCAATCTCTGCCTCCCAGGTTCAAGCAATTCTCCTGCCTCAGCCTCCGGAGTAGCTGGGACTAAAGGCGCCTGCCGCCACCCCTGGCTATTTTTGTATTTTTAGTAGAGACAAGGCTTCACCATGTTAGCTAGGCTGGTCTTGAACTCCTGACCTCAGGTGATCTGCCCACCTTGGCCTCCCAAAGTGCTGGGATTACTGGCGTGAGCCACTACACCTAGCCAAGAATCTATATTTTTAATCACACTGCCAATGAGCTCTTATGCACAAATCCATGCACCAACTGGCTTTTGTGATCTTGACACACAGAAAACACACAGTTTCACAAGAGTGAAACTCCATCTCAAAAATAAAAAAAATAAAAAGAAACAGCATCTGGGATTTTGTAGACCTGGGTTTGAATCTCACTTGCTATTTGAGAGCTTTGGACACATTATTATTTTAACTCTCTGGTCTTCAGTTTTCTCATCAGTAGAATGGGAATCAGAAGACTCACCATTTAGTTTTTGAGACAGAGCCTTGCTCTGTTGCCCAGATTGGAGTGCAGTGGCATGATCTTGGCTCACTGCAGCCTCCATCTCCCAGGTTCAAGTGATTCTCCTGCCTTAACCTCCCAAGTAGCTGGGATTACATGCCCATGCCACCACACTTGGCTAATTTTTGTATTTTTAGTAGGGGTTGGGTTTCATTTTGTTGGCCAGGCCAGTTCAAATTCCTGACCTCAGGTGAACCACATGCCTTGCCCTCCCAAAGTTCTGGGATTACAGGCCTGAGTCACTGCACCAGGCCCAGTTTTTGTTTTGATTGAATTCATAAAATATGTCTAGTGCTTAGCACAGGGGCTGACACTTAGGAAGTGGGCACTCCATAAATGTCAGGTGCTGTTATAAGAATCATCGTCATTATTATGCTCATTTGGGCTGGGGTTTCCTTTTATGGTTGTTAAAAGGAGAGCTGTCAACCATTCTTGTCAATCACGCATCAATGTCCTCCTAAACTCCACCCCATGGGCAGGGCCTCCCTCAATTTTAGGGGCGTGGCCTATTCCTTAGAGAGATGGGATCCCAGGTGATTTTTAGATCCTTCTCTTTGCTTAGGTGTTTTTCCTCAAAGTTCTACAGTGGTCATGTATTACCTGTGTAGCAAAAGAAAAGAAAACACAAACAAAATAAAATCATAATAGGACGTGTTCCTGCCTATTGCTCTCTTCCTGCTCTGGTTTCCTTTTTCTCTAGCTACCAAGTCATAAGTACTAAGAGTTATCATTTACGGTTCTTAACCCCATTCAGCATTTTTTCATGCTTTAAACTGGGCTTACCTCTGAGATTGCGTAAGAACTTTAAAAAACTAGCTGAGGAGGAAGGCAGGAATGGTTAACCCATTTATCAGATGAGAAAACTGGCGCTTGGAGTGGTTAAGTCGATTGCACAAAACTACACAACTAGTAAGAAAAAGAAAGGGGGTTCAGCCTTAGGCATTTTGGTGCCAAATCCAATGTTCCTTCTGCACAATGTGGGTGGGTGGGGTGAAGGTGGAAATAATGATGGGGAGATCTGCGGGGGGAGAAGCACATTCTGGGATGCCCGCTGGGAGGGGATTATGGAGTGAGAAAAGGGGCCAGGGTCAAAAGGGTCTTCTGTTTGGGGTTGGAAAGACTGCTTGTGGCTGGGGGTTTTGGGGTAGGGTGCTGCATCCTCAGCTTTTGCTCACACCTCATCTGTAGTGTCCCAGGAGGGGACAGGAAGGAGTCTGGTATTAGGCTCAGCACCCATCTCCCCAAATCCTGCTTGCAGTGCCATACCAGTTTCTCAGCCTCCCAGGTGTCCACGACCAGCAATGTGGTGTCTTCTCCATCCACCGTGAGGGTCCTCTCATATACACCTTCTGCAACCGAGGGAAGAGCTGGGTCTCAGGGAGAAGGGGCAAGCCTGAGAGAGTGTGGGGTTCCCTGCCCCCATTTCTGATCACATCGCCCCCTCCACTTCTAAGAAACACTCATCACACTTGTTTGATGCCTGTCTCTCCTGGTAGGAGCACATGTCTTCCTAGCTGCCATAATACCTGGCGCATTGTACGTGCCAAAAAGACTTGATTGATTGAATGAAGGTGGGGTGGTGGGGTTAAAGTTGGGCTAGGAATTCTCCCAGGCCTGCTCTGTCTCTGACTTAGTGTGTGCTTCAGGCAGGTCATGTTATCCTCTCTTGGCCTCAGTCTTCCTATCTGTAACACATGGGTTCTCACTTTTGAGGCTGGCGGAGGGAAGTCAAGACTAGAGAAGAGTCTGGCTAGATGTCCCCACCTTTTCTCTGTGTTTAATCAACCCCCTTCCCTACTCACCCTATGTCCTCTTGCCCAGTCCTTCAGGGCCTACCTTTATCTCTCCTGTCTTCCCTGTACTCCATCATCCTGGGGCCCTCGACACACTCAGGTCACTGCATTTCTTGGGAATAAAGCAACCCAGGGCCCAGAACCCGGGGTCTGGGAGTCTCCCTTCTGCAAAGGATCTTAGTTTTGCTGTAGGTCATGGTGACCATAGATGGGTGTCTACGGGACTAGGAGAATCAGAGTCAGAGGCATCGGGGCAGGGAGTTTCCGAGCTGGGTGGAAGCCCACCATTTCTTGACATGGAACTCAGAATTGCCACCCTTATGACATGGAAATGAATCATACACTTCTCATTCATGGGAAATTGGCAAAATTCTTGTTCTATTCAAGAATTTCCCTCCCCTTGACCATTCATTGTGCAGGCTGTGCCCCGTGCAACTTTGGAGTGGGGAGTGTTGAGAAACATTATGTTTACCCTGTCCCCATGGCTCCTCTGTGGAGGGACCTTTTAGTTTGTAATTAGTGGTAGGCAGGTAACAGCTGCCTACTTGGTATATTCTTGAGTTATTAGTAAATGTAGAGCATTTGTGTATTAATAATAATCACCTGTCTCAGAGCAAATAAATACATGGATGAGAATCTGCTCAGGGCCTTCAGCCTGGAAAGCTGTCAGCCTCTCAGGCTGTTGGTCCCCTGGATAGATCTACTCTGTTGGATGCCTCTCAATACCGTCAGTGCTACCTGGGTGGGAGTCTCCCAACCGAGCTGGTTCTCAGTATGGGAGGACATGGTTCATGTCATAGTCTGAGTGAATGATGCCCCTTAGAGTTGAACAGTGCATGACGTGTACAACTGTTCTTGGGAGCCCAGTGCCCTGGTGACAGAGCTTTCATTCCTTTGGCCACATCCCAGCCCAGCCCATATGGCCCCTACCTCCCAGCTGTTCATGGAGGTCCTTCTCTTGCTTCCCTGCAAAGAGGCTGGCCAGGCTGGTCTTCCCCACTCCAGGATCTCCAACTAGCACCACACGGTAGAGGGCCTCCCAGGAGCCTTCAGAGTCACTGGATTCAGAAGACCAATCATCTGGGGCAGGGGAAAGCTTCTGGGTGGGAGGATTGAGGGAGGCTGATTGGCCCAACCGGGGATGCTGGGATTGAGCTGAAGGTGCTGTGCTCAGGAGGCCAGGCTGGCGGCCCCGTGGGGACAGGGGCAGTGGGGTGCTGGCTCGCCGGCACAGAGGGGTCTTTGCTTCCTGCCCAGTGTTGAGTGTCATCTTTGGTAGAGGGGTTTTGCTTCTTCCTTCCTTCTGAAAGAAGGGGGAATTGGCTGTCAGCCAGTGGCTTTGAGCTGCTGCTTCTTTCTATAGCATCCCGATGAGCTGCTGAGATGGCTTTTTCCAGATCCCCCTCTTGTTCAGATGGGAGGATGAGGTGCCTCAGCTTCTTGGGGTGGGGGCCTTCTGGCTTCAGGCTCAGCGTACACCTGGATCTGGCTGGAAGGAGTGAGTGCACAGGCTGTGAACACACAGACATGCACACCCAGAGGCCATTAAGGATGACCTACTCCTGATGACAGGCAGGCGGAGGGGCAGCAGTGAGATGGGGTGTCCTCACATGCACATTCCCCACTCTGTGTACATGGGCCTGCCCTTCCCATACAACAAGAGGCCCTGGCTATGAAAGGCATCTGAATTGTTCCCTTCCTCCCCTTCCCCATCGCTCTCTTTCACAGGTTCTGGGTCGGGAGTGCAGTTTGAGGTCCCCCACCAAGGATAGGGGTTACTTAACTTTGATGCTCAATTTCACGGAGTCTGAGGAGGAAGAGGCAGGAGGGTGGGTTGATACTCCAGAAGGGTGAGGGGGGCATGGGGGTAACCCGACTGTAACCCGAGTGCCCTGGTGCCATGGGAACCGCGTGTCTGACCCGCCCACTGTGTGAAAAATTCAGGAGCGGCTGGCGCTATGGCCTCCAACTTCTTTTAATGACCGGAGCTGCAGCCGGCCTTTAGGCCTCAGGTTAGGTGACAGGACAGGGTCCTGGCAAGGCACGGGGAGGACAGACCGCAGGGCCCAGGAACGCTGTGCCATTCCTGGAGTCTGGGTCCGAGCTTTCCCAGCCGGCATCCGGGGTGTGAATCCCCCATCCTGGGGTGTGTGTGGAGGGGTCTTTGTCCATGGCTACCCAGCCCTCCGGGTCCCAAGGTCTGAAGACCCTCACCCTCGGGACGTAGTTTCGAAGTCCCCCTACCCTGCCAACGCTGCAGAACCCCCTGCATCGCCTGGCGAACTCTGCTCCAACTTGAGCAAGTTGGCGGCGCGGAGCGCAGGGCTTTACCTCGGCGTGGGAGGGGTCCAGGGTCCCCCGAAGCTCCAGCGGCGGGATGCTCCAGGCTGCACCACCCGCCTCCGCACGCAGCCCCTCAGGCCGGTTCCCCTCCCCTAGTCGCCTGGGTCGGGGGAGGAGCCGCGACCCCGCCCCATCCAGCCCCGCCCCATTAGGGCAGCCCCGGGGTCCCCGCCCCAAGGCCCTGGCCGCTCAGTGACTTTTCTGAAAGCGCAGAGCTCAGCTGAACTGCTTCTGCCAGTCCTACGAACCGAACTGGGTGGAGGGTGGTGGATGAGAGAGGATGGGGTCTCTGGATTCCTGGGTCTGGAGCATCCCATCTGCGTCCACATATGTCCACTCCATCAAGGGGATGAATCAACACATTAGCCCCTAGAAAAACCACTTGGGGAACTTGCTAAATTTTCAGGTCCCACCTTCCAAGAGAGGCAGATTCCGAAGTGCTGGGAGAGGGGTTTGGGAATCTACATTTTAAACAAGTGCCCCAAGTGATCCTGGTGCAGATGGCTCATTGACCTCACTTTGATAACCTCTGCTCTGGATGAAGAATTAATTTTGGGAGGTGACCTGGAGGAAGAGAGAGCTCAGGAAGTCTGCACTGAAGAATTCTGAAAATCGTATTTTTGGCATCATTGCATCATTCATTCATTCACCAATTGAGGCTTAGCTGGTTCTGGGCCTCAAGTCTCTGCTGTTCAGCCTCTTTCTTTCCTTCTTTCTTTCTTTCTTTCTTTCTTTCTTTCTTTCTTTCTTTCTTTCTTTCTTTCTTTCTTTCTTTTTCTTTCTTTCTTTCTTTCCTTCTT